GGAGAGAAGTGTCTGTCAACCTGCAAAATGGTGTGAGCACAAGAAAAAATAATATCCCTATGCTTCGCATTATTCCTTTATGTCCAGGTGGCCCAAAGGATCAGACAAGGAATAAGGAAGCCTACGTGTCTATTGTGTGTGAGGTGTGAGAAAAAACTCAGGAGCTCAAAAAAACTGTTTATAGTGGGTAGGGGTATATGAGTATATCTGGCATAGTGCTCCCACACTCTCCTCACAATCTCACTCTCAAGGAAAAGATGGGTGCAAATCTCAATCTCAAAGGTACCGGTCTCAATACAACAGTGGCAACGGGAGGAGAAGGAGAACCCCCTCTCCTGCATCACAATGTCAACGGGAATGCGCCGTAATAGGTGGCACAAAAAAAAGACGGAAATGGTCGGGGTGAGAAGGTCGGTCCAGATAACCCCGAAGAGTAGTTTAGGCCGGTTACCCAACCTCACATCTCCCCAAGCCGAGGACGTAGAGAATGTACCCGAAGATGTAAGTCTCCACCTCATGCCGTCCAAACCTCCCTCCAGAATGGGAATCTGTCGGATCTGATCGATCTCTAGACTACTAAAACCCTCACCATCACCTAGAATATCCTCTATCTTGTCTCTATCCCAAAAACCCCCATCCAAAGGTCCTTCACCTGCATGAAAGGCAGGTGAGTGACCGACCTAGTACTCGAAAGGGGGGCCTTGCCGAACCACCACTCATCCCAGAACTGACCACCCCAGAACTCAAGGTCCAAAAAATGTGCTTCTGAGCACGCCTGCCAACAGTGGTAAGCCGTCTCCACTGTCGACTATCCCGAACAGTGGCAGTCACCCTGCAAGGATGGGCAGCTCCACCAGTGCAATATTTCTTAAGGATGTATTGGGCCCAAAGGGACGTGCCCTCCCTGAGGCGCCACCACATCCTGTAGGAAAACACAGTGACAACATCAGAAAAATGCCGAATCCCCAGCCCACCTTACGAAAGGGGACGACATATGGAGTCCCACTTCACCCAGTGAGTCTGTCGCCGTCCCGCGAGCCCTCGCCATGGCTCCAAATATAACGGGCTAAGATCTGGTCTAACTTGTGAATCATAGACTGATAGGGGTCAAGTATCGCAAGAAAGTGAAGAGGAAGGACACAAAGAGTGCTCTTAATCAGAGCAAGTCGACCTCCGAAGGATAGGTGTCTATGCGACCAGCCAGAAATCCGATCAATCATCCTCTGACGAACTTTGATGAAAAGCTCATGGGAGAGATGACCCTTGTACAGGGGGCTCCAAGGTAATGGATGGGTAAGTCTCTACGAGAAAATCCAGTGCGCTCGTGGATTCGGTGAGCCCACTGATCTATAATGTATTGGTCCATGATAATGGTGCTCTTGCTAATACTGACTAGCTGGCCATAGGTCTCACTG